TACCAGGCTGCATTCCAAACGGCACCCTACCAGGGTGCATTCCAAACGGCACCCTATTCCCTATATAGACAAAGAAGCTGATGGTAGACTACAGGATACGGAGGGCCGAGCGCTTCAAGTGCCTCAGTGTCCACATCACACATTTTTTTCTTCTTATTTATTTATTTTATTTCACCTTTATTTAACCAGGCAAGCCAGTTGAGAACAAGTTCTCATTTACAACTGCGACCTGGCCAAGATAAAGCAAAGCAGTGTGATAAAAACAACAACACAGAGTTACATATGGGGTAAACAAAACGTACAGTCAATAACACAATAGAAAATCTATATACAGTGTGTGCAAATGTAGTAAGTTATGGAGGTAAGGCAATAAATAGGCCATAGTGCAAAATAATTACAATTATAATTTAGTATTAACACTGGAGTGATAGATGTGCAGAAGATGATGTGCAAATAGAGATACTGGGGTGCAAATGAGCAAAATAAATAACAATATGGGGATGAGGTAGTTGGGTGGGCTAATTACAGATGGGCTGTGTACAGGTGCAGTGATCGGTAAGCTGCTCTGACAACTGATGCTTAAAGTTAGTGAGGGAGATAAGAGTCTCCAGCTTCAGAGATTTTTGCAGTTCGTTCCAGTCATTGGCAGCAGAGAGCTGGAAGGAATGGCGGCCAAAGGAGGTGTTGGCTTTGGGGATGACCAGTGAGATATACCTGCTGGAGCGCAGACTACGGGTGGGTGTTGCTATGGTGACCAGGGAGCTAAGATAAGGGGGGGATTTGCCTAGAAGTGATTTATAGATGACCTGGAGCCAGTGGGTTTGGCGACGAATATGTAGTGAGGGCCAGCCAACGAGAGCGTACAGGTCACAATGGTGGGTAGTATATGGGGCTTTGGTGACAAAACGGAGGGCACTGTGATAGACTACATCCAATTTGCTGAGTAGAGTGTTGGAAGCTATTTTGTAAATGACATCGCCGAAGTCAAGGATTGGTAGGATAGTCAGTTTTACGAGGGCATGTTTGGCAGCATGAGTGAAGGAGGCTTTGTTGCGAAATAGGAAGCCGACTAAGAACCTATCATGGTCCAAACACACCAACACAGTCGTGAAGAGGGCACGACAACACCTATTCCCCCTCTGGAGGCTGAAAAGATTAGACATGGGAACTCAGATCCTCAAAAAGTTATACAGTTGCACCATTGAGAGCATCTTAACTGGTTGCATCACCGCTTTGCATGGCAACTGCTCGGCCTCCGACCGTAAGGCACTACAGAGGGTAATGCGTACAGCCCAGTACATCACTGGGGCCAAGCTTCCTGCCATCCAGGACCTCTATACCAGGCGGTGTCAGAGGAAGGCCCTACAAATGTTCAGACTCCAGCCACCCTAGTCATAGACTGTTCTCTCTGCTACCACACGGTAAGCGGTACCGGAGTGCCAAGTCTGGGACCAAAAGGCTCCTGAACAGCTTCTATCCCCAAGCCATAAGACTGCTGAACAGTTCATCAACTGGCCACCCGGACTATTTACATTGACACCCTTTATTATTTATTTATCTTAATTGTTTTGCACTGACTCCCTTGCACACTCCCTGGACTCTACCCACACACTCCCTGGACTCTACCCACACACTCACTGGACTCTACCCACACACTCACTGGACTCTACCCACACACTCACTGGACTCTACCCACACACTCCCTGGACTCTAACCCACACACTCACTGGACTCTACCCACACACTCACTGGACTCTACCCACACACTCACTGGACTCTACCCCACACACTCACTGGACTCTACCCACACACTCCCTGGACTCTACCCACACACTCCCTGGCCTCTACCCCACACACTCACTGGACTCTACCCACACACCTCCCTGGACTCTACCCACACACTCCCTGGACTCTACCCACACACTCCCTGGACTCTACCCACACACTCACTGGACTCTACCCACACACTCCCCTGGACTCTACCCACACACTCCCTGGACTCTACCACACAACTCCCTGGACTCTACCCACACACTCCTGGACTCTACCCACACACTCACTGGACTCTACCCACACACTCCCTGGACTCTACCCCACACACTCCCTGACTCTACCCACACACTCCCTGGACTCTACCCACACACTCCACTGGACTCTACCCACACACTCCTGGACTCCTACCCACACTCCCTGGACTCTACCCACACACTCCCTGGACTCTACCCACACACTCCCTGGACTCTACCCACACACTCCCTGGACTCTACCCACACACTCCCTGGACTCTACCCACACACTCCCTGGACTCTACCCACACACTCCCTGGACTCTACCCACACACTCCCTGGACTCTACCCCACACACTCCCTGGACTCTACCCCCACACCTCCCTGGACTCTACCCCACACACTCCCCTGGACTCTACCCACACTCCCTGGACTCTACCCACACAACTCCCTGGACTCTACCCACACTCCCTGGACTCTACCCACACACTCCCTGGACTCTACCCACACTGGACTCTACCCACACACTCCCTGGACTCTACCCACACACTCCCTGGACTCTACCCACACACTCACTGGACTCTACCCACACACTCCCTGGACTCTACCCACACACTCCCTGGACTCTACCCACACACTCCCTGGACTCTACCCACACACTCCCTGGACTCTACCCACACACTCACACATACTACACTGACACTCCAACACACTCCAACACTCACTCACACACACAACACACATGCATATTGACGCCACACACACACAGACACTTTCACACTTCACATTCGATGCTGCTACTCTGTTTATTATATATCCTGATTGCCTGGTCCCTTTTTACCCACATGTACATACTGTATCACCTCAACTACCTCGTACCCCTCCACATTGACTCAGTACTGGTACCCCTCCACACTGACTCAGTACTGGTACCCCTGCACACTGACTCAGTACTGGTACCCCCTGAACACTGACTCAGTACTGGTACCCCTCCACAACTGACTCAGTACTGGTACCCCTCCACATTGACTCAGTACTGGTACCCCTGGTACTGGTACCCCTGGTACTGGTACCTCCTGGCACACCTGACGCAGTACTGGTACCCCCTCCACACTGACCTCAGTACTGGTACCCCCTCCACATTGACTCAGTACTGGTACCCCTGCACACTGACTCAGTACTGGTACTCCTGCACATTGACTCAGTACTGGTACCCCTGCCCACTGACTCAGTACTGGTTACCCCCTCCACACTGACTCAGTACTGGTAACCCTGCACAACTGACTCAGTATGGTACCCCTGCACACTGACTCAGTACTGGTACCCCTCCACACTGACTCAGTACTGGTACCCCTCCACACTGACTCAGTACTGGTACCCCTCCACATTGACTCAGTACTGGTACCCCTGCACACTGACTCAGTACTGGTACCCCTGCACACTGACTCAGTACTGGTACCCCTGGTACTGGTACCCCTGGTACTGGTACCTCTGCACACTGACTCAGTACTGGTACCCCTCCACATTGACTCAGTACTGGTACCCCTGCACACTGACTCAGTACTGGTACCCCTCCACACTGACTCAGTACTGGTACTCCTGCACATTGACTCAGTACTGGTACCCCTGCACACTGACTCAGTACTGGTACCCCTCCACACTGACTCAGTACTGGTACCCCTGCACACTGACTCAGTACTGGTACCCCTGCACACTGACTCAGTACTGGTACTCCTGCACATTGACTCAGTACTGGTACTCCTGCACACTGACTCAGTACTGCTACTTCCTGTATATAGCCTCATTATTGTTTTTATTGAGTTACTATTTCCTTTTTTATTTAGCAAATATTTGTCTTACTTTTAACTCTGCATTGTTGGTTAACGGCTCCTAAGTATTTCACTGTAAGGTCTACACCTGTTGTATTTAGCGCATGTGACCAATAAAATGTTATTTTATTTTATTTAGTGCAGTGCACTACCTCCACTAGCCCTATAGGCCCTGGTCAAAATTAGTGCACTATAAAGTAGTGCACTATATAAGGAATAGGGTGCCATTTGGGACACAGTCGTCCTCATAGCATCTACCTATGTTGTTATGGTAACACAGGCAGTACTTACTTTTCATCGTTAGCGAACACCATGTTGTTCCTTTGCATGATGTGATGAAGAATGCTCTCAAAACCTGGAAGATACTGATACAGCTGAATAGAAGGGAACAAACAGCAATATCAGTTCAGAAATAGTTTGAGCTTAACTAGTCCTAGAATAGAGCAATATGGGTAAAATATACAGGAAGGATGGATAGCTAAGACATTCTTAACTAGTCCTAGAGTAGAGCAATATGGGTAAAATATACAGGAAGGAGATGGATAGCTAAGACATTCTTGTGAAACAGGGAAATGAAGCCATCTCGGGGTTTCATAGTGCAATAACACACTGTTAGCTCAGTTGGTAGAGCATGGCGTTTGCAACGCCAGGGTTGTGGGTTCGATTCCCACGGGGAGCCAATATGAAAAAAATTAAAAACAATGTATGCACTCACTCTCTGGATAAGAGCGTCTGCTAAATGACTAAAATGTAAATGTACACAAGGCCATAGACAGGCAGGCAGGCAGACAGACAGAGTGAGAGACAGACAGGCAGGCAGACAGAGTGAGAGACAGACAGACGCCTCACCATGCTGAGGGGATGGCTGGCTACTTCCTCCTCCATGTTGGTGTACGGAGCCTCCAGGATCACACCATCAACGGCATAGCTTGGTTCCAGATCTGCTAGTGTTATGTCCCTCAGATCACGTGCTCTTTCTCTTGCCAACTCCTTCGCTGTCAAGCCAAACATGGAAACATGTCATGACAAACATTTTTGTCATAGATCCATTATTAATGTTATGTTCAATCAGTGACTTCTTTTAGGGTTAAATAATGAATGCTTGAACTGCATGCCAAAAAGTTGGTTATGTTTACCCATTAAAGATGCAGTCTGGGATTTTAAAGCACAACAAATTCGTAACATTTTTACATTTTAGTCATTTAGCAGACGCTCTTATCCAGAGTAACACACACACATATACATATATATATATATATATATACTGTATATACCGTGGCAGACCAGGGGGTTTGATCAAGACTATATATATATATATATATATATATATATATATATATAATATATATATATATTATATATATATATATATACAGTGAGGGAAAAAAGTATTTGATCCCCTGCTGATTTTGTACGTTTGCCCACTGACAAAGACATGATCAGTCTATAATTTTGTGTATATATATATATATATACACACATATACACAAATTGCAAAACAAAAAGTAGGACGTAAAATGACATATGAAATGGAGGACGTAGTACACAAAACAGGGACCCGGTTTGGCTCGTGGAGCACCACTATCAAAACTACTGCGAATTATCCTAAAGTTCGGAGCATCACTTTAAAGGGGTTTTTTCTTTGTCTTTGGAACCCAGTGGAACGATTTTTTTTTTAATCTATCTAAATTTTAAATCAACTTTCTTAAAACTTGAAAAAATTAATGGAAACCCATGCAAAACAGGGAAAAATTTTATTTAATAATTTTCCAAAAAAATGGAAATAAATTTTTAATAAAACCCGGGTTTAAAAGAAAAAACCGAACCATTTTCCATTTTAGGGGGTTCCTTTATCCGGTAAGGTTTATTAAAAAATTGGTTACTCTGTTTTGGTTAACCCTTTGTCGCACCTAACTGGGGAAACCAACCATCTTTTAAGGACTTTGGGGGCCCCTAAAACCAGCCAATATAGATTAAACCAAATTAGTTGGGAAACCAGACGGTTCCAACACCAATGTTTTAAAAAATAGAGGCTTCATTTAAATGACCCCAAACCCAAATGGAATAAAACCAGAATGGGGCTTAAAAAATTTGGGGAAATTTGTAAGGTTGAGAAACACTTGGTGCCACTGTAACTTTTTTTTAAAAGGGTAAAAAAAATTTAATCCCCACCCTTTTTGCGTCCTTATTTGTCCGGGATTCGAAAACCAAAGACAAGGTTCACTTTTCTTAAAAAATTTGTAAATTTTTTCTAAAAAGGGAAGTTTTCATTGACGGGGTTAAATTCATTTGCTTTTGTAAAATCTTCTCTTAAAATGGGGGTTGGAAATTTTTGGGGATTTCTAAAAAACAGGGGAAATTAAATTTGAACAGGGGCTTATTATTTGCCTGGGGACAGAAACTTTCCTTAAAAACCTTAAGTTCCCCATTTTACCATTTTTGAAAAGATTTTGGGGATAAACTCATTCCCTAGTTATTCTTTTTGAAAAAAGGGGATAAACTTTTTGAACAAAAGGGGTTCACTATTTTTTCCCCCATTTAAAAGTCAAAATTCCCATTAACCTTGGGGTTTAAGATTCACTTTGACCTTGGGTTTTCAAAATTCCTTTTAAAACATGAGTTTCCCTTAAGGGGACAAAGACAAACCCTTTTAAAAGGGTAATTTTTTATTGGGGGGGCCAAAACTTTTTTTTTGAAAACATTCCTATTTTCCCATAAAAGGGGTTTTATTTGTCCTTTAATTTGAAGACTTTATTAACAGTGTAAAAATTTTTTCATTAAAAAGGGGAAAAAGCTAATTCCCCATATTTTTTCGACTTCATTTTAACTTAAATTTCGTAATGGCAGGGACCCATTAATTGTAATGATCCCATAAATAGTTCTTATCCCAAATTTAAAATAGATAAATCCTTTTTAAATCCCGATCAAAGAACTTCTTAAAATATAGGATCTTTTAATCCTATCCCAAACTTTTTTTAGGGGTTTTTAAAATCATTTTAAGGAATTTCCCCAAAATACCCCACAAACTACCTAAACTGCTAAAATTCCCCTTTAACCCTCGGGCAATTTCCCCTTGACCCCCTTTAAGTTGCTTTACTAAAGGGTTGGGGTTTTTAATTAAAAATTGGGGGGAAATTTCTTTTTTACACCAGGTTTTTCCTAAAAATTTAAGTCTTTTTACCATACTTCAACTATTTGTCCCAAGTTGACTTAAACCAGTTTAATTGCTTTTCATTTAGTGGGGGAAAATTTTTCTTTTTTTTACACTTTTTTGGGATATAATTTGGATTACTGTTATTTGGGCCCGGTTTTTTAAAATGATCAATTAAAAATGCATATACGAGTAGGACGACTTGGATCAGTTGTAACAACTGCTTTTGTATGACCAATACTTACCACCAAGCTAATTCTTTCTAAGTTTTTTATTTTTTCTAAAGTTGCATGTTGAGTGTACCTAAGAAACGGCCCACTTTTAAAATTGCACATTGGTGCTGACTAATACTTTTTTCCCCACTGTATATATATATATATATATTACGTATATCCGTGGCAGACCAGGGGTTTGATCAACCTATATATATATATATATATATATATATATGATATATATATTATTATATATACAGTGAGGGAAAAAGTATTTGACCCCTGCTGATTTGTATGTTTGCCCACTGACAAGACATGACAAAAAGCCAAACAAAAAAAGTAGACTAAATGACATTGAATGGAGGACGTAGTACACAAAAAACAGGGACCCGGTTTGGCTCGTGAGCACCACTATCAAAACTACTGGCTGGAATTATACTAAAGTTCCGGAGCATCACTTTAAATAGTTTGGAGCATGTGTAGAGTGTGACTTCCTTTCTTTTATACAGTTTATTCCCCGTCAGTCAGCACCTCTACACATTTGTGTGGTGTGTGCATCAGCTCATGCATTTTAATAGAGGTTCTATCAGGTGACCCCTGCATAAAATCCAGCTGAATACTGAACGTTGAGATTCAGTTGAGGCCAGTCACTGACGTTGGCAGCTCAAACAGACGTGGCACCAGTCACTGACGTTGGCAGCAGAACCAGACTGGCACGCAGGCTATCAAGACCAGTCACTGACGTTGGCAGCAGAAACAGACTGGCACGCAGGCTATCAAGACCAGTCACTGACGTTGGCAGCAGAACCAGACTGGCACGCAGGCTATCAAGACCAGTCACTGACGTTGAAAACAACAGGAAAAATAACAATTGAGTCTTCAGATGAATAAATTGTGAAATCGAAAATCATTGCATGGCTAGCTGTCAAGGTAAATAAACTAACTAGATCAGGGGTACTAAAATATTATTTGAGAAGGTCCGGTCACACATATTTCCTAGGTGGCAAAGGTCCGGTTGGATATTGTCATTTATCGGCGTAGTAACAAACCCCCACCTCACGACCCCAACTGTTCACACCCCTCTTGTTGGCAGAGAGAAAAATGTTAAATGTTTTAAAAGCTAATTTCCAGCAGGTTTTTTGTCGGTATTGACGTCATTCTGGGTCCGGCCCACAGTCTGTCTATTGAGTATGACTGAACTAGCTGAAATGAACTTCTTCCCTTTGAACACCAGGGGGCTCTGAAGACTTTTTACTTTGAACACTAGGGGGATCAGAATACTTCATACTTTGAACACTAGGGGGATCAGAATACTTCCTACTTTGAACACTAGGGGGATCAGAAGACTTCCTACTTTGAACACTAGGGGGATCAGAAGACTTCTCCCTTTGAACACCAGGGGGCTCTGAAGACTTCCCACATTGAACACCAGGGGATCTGAAGACTTCCCACATTGAACACTAGGGGGATCTGAAGACTTCTCACTTTGAACACTAGGGGGATCAGAAGACTTCCACTTTGAACACTAGGGGGATCAGAATACTTCCCACTTTGAACACTAGGGGGATCAGAAGACTTCCCACTTTGAACACTAGGGGGATCAGAAGACTTCCCACATTGAACACTAGGGGGATCAGAATACTTCCCACTTTGAACACTAGGGGGGATCAGAAGACTTCCTACTTTGAACACTAGGGGGATCAGAAGACTTCCTACTTTGAACACTAGGGGGATCAGAAGACTTCTCACTTTGAACACTAGGGGGATCAGAAGACTTATCCCTTTGAACACCAGGGGGCTCTGAAGACTTCTGCCTTTGAACACTAGGGTGCTCTGAAAAATTTCTTCTTTGAACACCAGGTGGCTCTGAAGACTTCCTCATTTGAACACCAGGGGGCTTTGAAGACTTCCGCCTTTGAACACTAGGGGGATGTAAATACTTATGTATTTGAACACTACAGTGATCTAAAGACTTCTCACTTTGAACACTAGGGGGATCTAAAGACTTCCTACTTTGAACACTAGGGGGATCAGAATACTTCTCACTTTGAACACTAGGGGGATCAGAAGACTTCCCACTTTGAACACTAGGGGGATCAGAAGACTTCCCACATTGAACACTAGGGGGATCTAAAGACTTCCCACTTTGAACACTAGGGGGATCAGAAGACTTCCTACTTTGAACACTAGGGGGATCTAAAGACTTCCCACTTTGAACACTAGGGGGATCAGAATACTTCCTACTTTGAACACTAGGGGGATCAGAAGACTTCCCACTTTGAACACTAGGGGGATCAGAAGACTTCCTACTTTGAACACTAGGGGGATCAGAATACTTCCCACTTTGAACACTAGGGGGATCAGAAGACTTCCCACTTTGAAACACTAGGGGGATCAGAATACTTCCACTTTGAACACTCGGGGGATCAGAAGACTTCCTACTTTGAACACTAGGGGGATCTGAAGACTTATTACTTTGAACACTAGGGGGATCAGAAGACTTCTCCCTTTGAACACCAGGGGGCTCTGAAGACTTCTGCCTTTGAACACTAGGGTGCTCTGAAAACTTTCTTCTTTGAACACCAGGGGGCTCTGAAGACTTCCTCATTTGAACACCAGGGGGCTTTGAAGACTTCCGCCTTTGAACACTAGGGGGATGTAAATACTTATGTATTTGAACACTACAGTGATCTAAATACTTCTCACTTTGAACACTAGGGGGATCTAAAGACTTCCTACTTTGAACACCAGGGGGATCAGAATACTTCTCACTTTGAACACTAGGGGGATCTGAAGACTTCTCACTTTGAACACTAGGGGGATCAGAAGACTTCCTACTTTGAACTCCAGGGGGATCAGAAGACTTCCTACTTTGAACACTAGGGGGATCAGAAGACTTCCCACTTTGAACACCAGGGGGATCTAAAGACTTCTCACTTTGTTCATCACCACTGACAAGCTAATACATGTCAGATTCTCCACACTTTTCCCTGTCATGGATTTAAAAACATATTTGATTGGTGTAGGAACTGTCTGGAGCTGGAGGGCGTAACTCACCCTGCTCCTGTATCTTCACGGCAGCATTGGTCGCCACCCTGCATAGAGAGTTCATACATCTTCATTTTGGGGAAAAGAGTCTAGAATGAAACCCAGGCTGAATCTCAAATCGACCGCTAAGCTCTAAACCCTATGCCAGGGTTCTTCAATTCCGGTCCTGGAGGGCTGAAACACCTCTGTTTTTCATCCTCTCCTTTTAATCAGGGGCTAATTCAGACCTGGGACACCAGGTGAGTGCAATTAACTACCAGGTAGAAATAAAAAACAGAAGTGTTTCGGCCCTCCAGGACCAGAATTGAAGAACCCTGGTCTATGTCCTTGTGGAGATCTTAGAGAATTGTGATTAGTATAACCAATGGTGTAACTTCTACCCGGCCTATCACAGGGCAAGGTGGAGCTATTACCATATTGCTTATACCTGTCAAATACTCTCAGATCTCCGCAAATGCGTAAGTCTTAGGAGTCCATTTGAGATTGGGCCCTTAATCTTTAAAATGCTAAATGCCAAGAGACGCTCACTCACCCAGTGCCCAGGGAATGTCCCCACAGACAGACCTCGCTGGTCCTGCTGCGTGTCTTTACCCACTGGTACAGGTAGATGGCGTCAGAGGTCATCCCTACCTCACTGGGCTCCCCACTGGAATCCCCAAAACCTGGGGGAGAAGGTGACAAAGCAGCCCTTTGATTCATGACGTCATTATGGCTGCTTCCACCCTATGTAGACTATATTTCCACTTTGCTACCATTACAATCTGATGCAAAAAAATATGTAATGAATGGCAATATATTAAATATATTTGCCTCTGCACTACAGACGTCGTGGTACAAAGTGACTTAAGAGAGCAACATAACGCACCCACATGAAGTCCTATTTCGGATAATGAATTAATTAATGCATTTTATTTACATGTCAAATCACCATTGGCGACCCATACCTTACAGGATTATTTGACACATCTGAGTTTTGTAATGGCCAGGGAAATATGACAATATACCCCTTGACTTTTTCCACATTTTGTTATGTTACAGCCTTATTCTAAAATGGATTAAATTATTTTTTCCCCTCATCAATCTACACACAACATCCCATAATGACAAAGCAAAAACTGGTTGTTTAGACGTTTTTGCAAATTTATTAAAAATAATAAATTGAAATATCACATTTACATAAGTATTTAGACCCTTTACTCAGTACTTTGTTGAATCACCTTTGGCAGCGATTACAGCCTCAAGTCTTCTTGGGTATGACGCTACAAGCTTGGCACACCTGTATTTGGGGAGTTTCTCCCATTCTTCTATGCAGATCCTCTCAAGCTCTGTCAGGTTGGATGGGGAGTGTTGCTGCAAAGCTATTTTCAGGTCTCTCCAGAAATGTTAGATCGGGTTCAAGTCCGGACTCTGGCTGGGCCACTCAAGGACATTCAGAGACTTGTCCCGAAGCCACTCCTGCGTTGTCTTGGCTGTGTACTTACGGTCGTTGTCCTGTTGGAAGGTGAACCTTCGTCTGAGGTCCTGAGTGCTCTGGAGCAGGTTTTCATCAAGGATCTCTCTGTACTTTGCTCAGTTCTTTCCCTCGATCCTGACTAGTCTCCCAGTCCCTGCCACTGAAAAACATCCCCACAGCATGATGCTGCCACCACCATGCTTCACCGTAGGGATGGTGCCAGGTTTCCTCCAGACGTGACGCTTGGCATTCAGGACAAAGAGTTCAATCTTGGTTTCATCAGACCAGAGGTCATGGTCTGAGAGTGCTTTAGGTGCCTTTTGGCAAACTCCAAGCGGGCTGTCATGTTCCTTTTACTGAGGAGTGGCTTCCGTCTGACCACTCTACCAAAAGGCCTAATTGGTGGAGTGCTGCAGAGATGGTTGTCCTTTTGGAAGGTTCTCCCATCTCCACAGAGCAACTCTAGAGCTCTGTCAGAGTGACCATCGGGCTCTTGGTCACCTCCCTGACCAAGGCCCTTCTCCCCCGATTGCTCAGTTTGGCCGGGCGGCCAGCTCTAGGAAGAGTCTTGGTGTTTCCAAACTTCTTCCATTTAAGAATGATGGAGGCCACTGTGTTCTTGGGGACCTTCAATGCTGCAGACATTGTTTGGTACCCTTCCCCAGATCTTTGCCTCGACACAATCCTGTCTTGGATTTCTACGGACAATTCCTTCGACCTCATGGCTTGGTTTTTGCTCTGACATGCACTGTCAACTGTGGGACCTTATATAGACAGGTGTGTGCCTTTCCAAATCATGTCCAATCAATTGAATTTACCACAGGTGGAGTCCAATCAAGTTGTAGAAACATCTCAAGGATGATCAATGGAAACAGGATGCACCTGAGCTCAATTTCAAGTCTCATATCAAAGGGTCTGAATACTTATGTAAATAAGGTATTTTCTTTCTTAATATTTTTATACATATGCAAACATTTCAAAATCTTTTTTCGCTTTGTCATTATGGGTTATTGTGTGTAAATTGATGAGGAAAAAAAGTAATTTAATCCATTTTAGAATAAGGCTGTAACATAACTAAATGTGGAAAAAGTCAAGGGGTCTGAATACTTTCCGAATGCACTGTGTGTGTGTATTCACTTGTATTTGTGCTCACCTCTGTAGTCCAGTGACAGTACATGATAGCCTGCTGCACTTAGGATCTAGAAAATAGACAGGCTTGGTTAGGAAATCCTTTATTTTAACCAGTAATAAAAAAAAGATATATTATTTCAGACTAGAACAACATACAGTACCTTCACAAGTTCGACCCTGTGGTGTATGGCCCTTTGGACATGACAGGACAGTTTGAGAGATTAGTAACTTAAAACAAAAACAAAAAAGCTCCCTCTAATTCATTGAAACAACACTGGGATGACTATGGTATATCTGTGGAATAAACCAAGGGATGTCACGTAATCTCGGAACTCAGAATGTCCTGAAACAGGGAAAGCCAACCTGTTTTTATTTTCCAATAAGAACGCTCATTTTTTCCGATTTCCAAAACTTGTTGCCACGGTGTTCCCTAATGAACATGGCCCTGATGATGTAACAATACCCACTGGAATCCATTAGGAGTGTCTACCAGGATGTGCATCCCAAATGGACCCCTATTCCCTGTATAGTGCACTACTTTTTGACCAGGGCCCATACCTCCCTCACCCATAGGGCTCTGGTCAAAAAGTAGTGCACTATACAGGGAGTAGGGGGCCATTTGGGATGCACACAGGGTCTCTACCCCAACACTAGACTCACCTGGAGCCCACGTTACCGTGGAGATAAATGATAACAGGAGAATCATCTCCCAGAGTCTCACTGTACCACTCAGGGCCCGACCCCTGGGCCTTCTGCCATTGGCTGTCGGGAACCGTATGCCTAGGAGACAGAGACAGCACAAACAAACAGGTGTAGGGTGAAGTTAGGCGACTAGATTCAGCCGCGGGGGACGGGGACGAAGACGACATCATTATAATAATTTTTACACTGCAAATTGACCACAACTAAGCCCCAAAAAATAGATTGTAATTTTTCAAATACAATCATTTCATACCTTGATTGCATTGAGACGCGATCACATACAGTGGATTGTGAAAGTATTCACCCCCCCTTGGCATTTCCCCTGTTTTGTTGCCTTACAACCTGGAATTAAAATGGATTTTTGGGGGGTTTGTATCATTTGATTTACACAACATGCCTACCACTTTGAAGATGGAAAATAAAAAAAATTGTGAAACAAACAAGAAATAACACAAAAAAACTGAAAACTTGAGCGTGCATAACTATTCACCCCCCCCCCCCAAAGGCAATACTTTGTAGAGCCACCTTTTGCAGCAATTACAGCTGCAAGTCTCTTGGGGTATGTCTCTATAAGCTTGGCACATCTAGCCACTGGGATGTTTGCCCATTCTTGAAGGCAAAACTGCTCCAGCTCCTTCAAGTTGGATGGGTTCATAGCAAAGGGGGTGAATACATATGCACGCACCAGTTTTCCAAGTTATTTTTTTCATTTCACTTCACCAATTTGGACTATTTTGTGTATGTCCATTACATGAAATCCAAATAAAAATCAATTTAAATTACAGGTTGTAATGCAACACAATAGGAAAAACGCCAAGGGGGGTGAATACTTTTGCAAGGCACTGTACACTATATATACAAAAGTATGAGGACACCCCTTCAAATTAGTGGATTCGGCTATTTCAGCCACACCCATTGCTGACAGGTGTATAAATTCGAGCACACAGCCATGCAATCTCCACAGACAAACATTGACAGTAGAATGGCCCTACTGAAGAGCTCAGTGACTTTCATCGTGGCACTGTCATAGGATGCCACCTTTCCAACAAGTCCATTTGTGAAATTTCTGCCCTGCTAGAGCTGCCCCGGTCAACTGTAAGTGCTGTTATTGTGAAGTGGAAACGTCTAGGAGCAACAACGGCTCAGCCGCGAAGTGGTAGGCCACACAAGCTCACAAAACGGGACCGCCGAGTGCTGAAGCGCGTAGCGCGTAGCGCGTACAAATCGTCTGTCCTCGATTGCAACACTCACTACTGAGTTCCAAACAGCCTCTGGAAGCAACATCAGCACTAGAACTGTTCGTCGGGAGCTTCATGAAATGGGTTTTAATGGCCGAGCAGCCGCACACAAGCCTAAGATCACCATGCACAATGCCAAGCGTCGGCTGGAGTGGTGTAAAGCTTGCCGCCATTGGACTCTGGAGCAGTGGAAACGCGTTCTCCGGAGTGATGAATCACGCTTCACCACCTGGCAGTCCAACGGACTAATCTGGGTTTGGCGGATGCCAGGAGAACGCTAAATGCCCCAATGCATAGTGTCAACTGTAAAGTTTGGTGGAGGAGGAATAATGGTCTGGGGCTGTTTTTCATGGTTCGGGCTAGGCCCCTTAGTTCCAGTGAAGGGATCTCAACGCTACAGCATACAATAACATTCTAGACGATTCTGTGCTTCCAACTTTGTGGCAACAATTTGGGGAAGGGCCTTTCCTGTTTCAGCATGACAATGCCCCCGTGCACAAAGCGAGGTCCATACAGAAATGGTTTGTCGAGATTGACTGGCCTGCACAGAGCCCTGACCTCAACCCCATCAAACACCTTTGGGTGGAATGCCGACTGCGAGCCAGGCCTAATCGCCCCCAACATCAGTGCCCGACCTCACTAATGCTCTTGTGGCTGAATGGAAGCAAGTCCCCCGCAGCAATGTTCCAACATCTAGTGGAAAGCCTTCCCAGAAGAGTGGAGGCTGTTATAGCAGCAAAGGGGGGACCAACTCCATATTAATGGCCCATGATTTTGGAATTAGATGTTCAACAAGCAGGTGTCCACATATTTTGGTCATGTAGTGTATGTCTCTTTTTATTAGTGGGAATACTTGGGAACAGATTTCCTAAATGTCCTAAATGTAATTTAACTACTTTTCAGCATAATGGTGATTTGAGTCTTTAAAAAAATAAAATAAATAAAAAAACCTTGGGGGGCCAAAATAAATCACTCTGCCCGCGGGGCCGCTTGTTGCCGACCCCTGCCCTAGACACAGATCTTGGGTCAGTTTTGCATTTTGCCTACTGGGGGTTAAGTTTAGGAGTGGGAAAGGGGAAGCTGATTCTAGATCTGTTCCTAGGGGAAACTTCACCCCAAACAAACAAAGGAGGAGGTGAAATAGTAGCCTGGTCCCAGATCTGTTTGTGCTTTATGGGCATTTCCAGTCTGCTCCCAGATCTGTTTGTGATCTGGGACCAGGCTACAGAAATAGAAACTCATGGCTTCTTTTCTCAATTGTCTAATTATCCTTGTTTCCCCTCCCTTGTTTCCTCTCCTTGTTTCCTCTCCTTGTTTCCTCTCCTTGTTTCCTCTCCTTGTTTCCTCTCCTTGTTTCCTCTCCTTGTTTCCTCTCCTTGTTTCCTCTCCTTCATATGGGTGCTATACTACAAAGCAGAATCATTGAGTTAGCCAGATGACTTGCCTAAATATTCTGAAATAACTTTTCGTTTTCTTGAAAGGAAAAGCTTAAAATGGACATGGTCTAATTGACTCAACAACCAAAAACATATATTGAAGTTGAGTTTTCTTAATGAACCTGAAAATCTGTTGATATTTTTTTGGGTTATTTATCAAAATTAGCTGGCTAACTCCTCGATCATGCTTTGTAGTATACCCCTATGCAATGATTGAAAAACACTTGACTAGTCCCGGTCAAAAGCAGTGCACTAGGTAGGGAATAGGGTGCCATTTGGGACGTATACACCGATTTACCATACACCCAGTGAGATCCCCTCCTCTGGACTGAGGTAGAAGTTTAGGGTGTGGTTCAGGGAGAGCTCTACTGGACTAGCCAGGTCCACAAGGTACGGAAGCCTCACTGGTACAGATTTCAAAACAAAACAAAAAGGAAGTTATCACCCAGTTTATTCAGTTCACACCTGTCTAAATCATTCCGTGCAATAATATTATATATATATATGACAGAACATACAGTAGTTTGCTGTATCTACAATAGATATGGTGTGCAGCACATGCAGCGGCAACAGTCATCTGAAGTCATTTCATCACGTCAGTTTTCAATAGGGTTAGACTGAACTCCTCTACTTACACCAGTGGGAACAGACGACATGGCCTAGTATCCATGGAAACAGGCAGAGGATTACGGGCAGAGAGATGTAGACAGTACACTGCAGTAAGATCACCTTCTTCAGTGTGGACAACCCCGGAGAACTATAACAAAGATAATCAAACTTTATTGTCCAAAATGGAAATGTATCTTTGGCGCTCTGGCTTTCTTTAGGGGGGGGGGGGGGGGGTAGAATGATGCAGTTGAGAATGGTGTGAACATGCAAGATAGGCCTTATAACAGGCCAAAACAATAGTAGCCTAGCGCTGTGCATTATAACAACTTATAATACATTACACATCTAGGCTATGACATAAGCTAGTCCACCAGACGGCTGGCTCCCTCTGCAATTGAGCCTGGGGACAAAGTTAGCTATGACAACACTGAAACAAGTGAAACTACAGGCCTAGAGGCTGGCTTCTGAGCTTGAAGGCTACAGTACTTACCGTTCACTTGTAACAGTATTCAATTTGCAGTAGGACTTCTTCTTTTCAGACCCAGGGGTTTCCTTGCTGTCCACGGTCTTAGTTTCATTGTCTGTATCAACTGTTTTCCTCATTTTGAAGTGTAAACTAAACTGCAGAGACCTTTTACTGCCAGAAATAGTAGAGAGAAACGTGTAGGTTTACTTCCTGATGACATGGAGGATTGGGAAATATGAGGTGAAGGGTTGTCTATGTGCAATAGGAAGCTGATTGGCTCAAATGGCTAATAAACGTCAACATGTTGATTAGGCTATAAACACACATACACAAACATTGGGATATGAGTGCTGTTTGACAACAGTAGGCTACAGAGGAGAGGGAAGTCAAGAGGCCTAATAATTAGGTCAAATAAAGGGATACAGCTATTCATGTCACTGTATTTCACTTATATTACACTGTTTAGATGAAACTCACGCCAAAAACTAAAGCAAACTTACTGTTTGATTAAGTTTTCAATGTTATAAAGGACTGTTTATTTAAAAATGTAGGCCTATTTAGTTGTCATGTTTAAGCGATTCAATTATTTGCAAAGGTTGATATGTGTATTTATTTATTTTTACCATAAAACAATATGTGATGCCCTAGTTGCATATTAAACACATACTTCTAGACAGATGAATTGTTGCCTTCCTTGCCTGTGAAAATGGTCTGGGGGCCTTGGAGAGGAGCGGCGCGCCAATGAACGCGTCCGTGCGACTGGAGAGCTGTTCAATGCGTCACCACCCCTTCCTCTCTCAGGAGCTTTTCAAAATCCGAAAGGAGAGATGCAGTTGACTCAGAAGGTATTTTAGACTACTGAACGAGAACAAACCGTTTGACAACACAGGTATAAATATATAGTAGGCTACCTTGGTTACGCTAGCCCCAAATAAGGAGTTGAATCATCAAGTTTCGGAAGGGGTTTATTTGAGAGAAAATCAAAACCTCTTTTTTTAAAGGAAGGACGGACTGTTGTGAAACTTCTGTAGCGGTCTCCCTAAAATTCGACCAGAGAAGAGGGATAGGCAGCCTTCGACTCAGTGGAGTTTCTGTGGGTAAGTCTGTAGCAACTGTAAATTGTTTTTATATATTTAGTATGTCAGCTTACTTGATTGCCTACCAGGCCTGTAGGCTATAATGATCACAAAAGGCTAATAAAGAGAAATAATCTAGTTTAGCTTCTGTAGCCTGCCGAGCCCCCGCCGACGACATTTCAACGTGTTCCTCATGCAGCGGCCTGATTCACTTTTGCTTTCTTCAACCCCTTGTTAAATGTTTTTCCTTGCCTGGACATCGACATACCAGGCCGTTGTTTCTATGGTGATGCTTTGAACACGTTTGCAAGGGACCACCAGTAGTGCCACGTTACAATGTATCTATTTTCCAATCACGTTGCTACAACGTAACAAGCAGGAAAGTTGATAAATCTGAATCCGTGCTTGGGTTATTAGGATATGAGTCCTTTGTCCCTAGCTAGCTGCCCAGGGAAGAGTAAAGTCGTCTTTGGATTTGTCAGATTACTAATATTAGTGTTAGATAAGTAGTATTTAGCTTCATCCTGTAATTTAGTTTTATATTGGTGCATGGTCATTGCCAATAAATACGTTTTGTTTTGTAAACATTCCCAGCCCAGTTGAACTTTCCCATTGAAGTGCTGTAAATATATTAAACGCAATGTAATTTCTAAAATTGTTATTTACCTCCGAATCATTACGTTATGCATCTTTTGTTTGTACTGGCATAGTACTGACGGCTTGTTGCACCTGTTGCCATGTTGTACTTGTTGACTCAACACACAGATGTTGTTTAATGACGACTGCCTAGGTGACAATGTAAATCATTGACATTGAAATAATACTAGTTAACCTTTTTTATGAGATATATGGACACATTTCTACTTGGTTAGACCTACGAAAATAACAGCACATGGTTAAATAAGTTTATGTGCAAATGTTAGGCAGTGTCCCAAATGGCACCCTTTTCACTAGGTATGTAGCGCACTACTTTTGACCAGATCCATATGGGCCCTGGTCAAAAATAGTGCACTATATAGGGAATAGGGTGCCATTTGGGGACACTGTTTTTGTCTGGCATGATGATTCTGAACCATCACAGGGATCTCTGGTAGTTCAGTAACTCAGTCAGTACTTCAGTCAGTAGCCCAGTCAGTAACTCAGTAACTCAGTCAGTAGTTCAGTCAGTAACTCAGTAGTTCAGTCAGTAGCTCAGTCAGTAACTCAGTCAGTACTTCAGTCAGTAGCCCAGTCAGTAGCCCAGTCAGTAACTCAGTACTTCAGTCAGTAGCCCAGTCAGTAACTCAGTCAGTAGTTCAGTCAGTAGGCCTACAGGGAGTGGGACGACCAAACATATGATGCAGCAGGTGTCCGGATTAACCTCGTCTTCTGATTCCCCTGCTCCAGTCTACTCTTCCTTGGTCCTGATTCTGTAACGGACAGCTGTCAATCTACAGTCCCAATGACCCGCTGTATGGGGTCAATCCCTTTTGGAGCTGCTGTCAATCTACAGTCACAATGACCCGCTGTATGGGGTCAATCCCTTTTGGAGCTGCAGGTCTATTTTGCTGACAGCTTAGAGCCTACGAGACAAATGATCAAATCAAAACGTGTCAAATTAAGGCCTGTAGAGGATGACTGCTGATCCAGGATCAGTTTGACCTTTTAGATCATAATAAATACTTTTAATATTATTATATTATTTATATATTATTATAAATACATTTTATATGGACAGATTCTAAATCAGCACTACTACTCTGAGTTGCTTTGTGGATACGCGTCCTGGTCTTTGTCTTGGGTTTTTACTGTGATCTTATGAGGGTAGCTGGGTAGGGGATTTAATGTGTGATCCGCTGGCCACGATGCTAAACTAGCGATCACGGTTCACTTGAATGAGATCAGCTGCTGAGATGTGCAGATGCAAGAAGCTGAAAAAAGAAATGATTATGGACGCGTCCCAAATTGCATCCTATGGGCCCTGGTCAAAAGCAGTGTGCTGTATGGGGGGAATAGGGTGCCATTTGGGACAGGCCGTATGGTTTGGACAGCCCATTGTCTTGAGTTGAATAAGGACTCTCAGATCTGGCTGGAGGAGCTGGAAGAGGAGGGGACACCTGGCTAATGCTGGCTTCTATGAAGGACAATGATGACATCACTATGACAACAAGCAGCTGGAAGTGGTGGTGGGGGGGGGGGGGGGGGGGGGGGTAGTAGTGTGTTTACATACGTGTGTGTGGTGTAGGAATGGGGGGGGGGGGGAGGGGTTTGAAATAAGTTCACTATTTGAATAGTATCATGAATTTTTGTCGGATATTCGAAATACATGTATGTTTTGTTTTACTTCCGTTTTTTTAACCCGAGAGGCTGGCGCTCGATTGCTGCAGCTGCGGAGGTGCCGGTGAGATGGGAGCGGAGGCAGAGAGAGAGACTCTACTCGGCTACAGCCAAGACTAGCTAACTTGTAGCAGCCACAATCTTTATTTATCATCCCATAGAACAGTGCCTGTCTTGACTGGAGGAACCTAGAGAACCTAGACAGCTATAGCTAGCTAGGCTAATTTGAGGCCACATTTAGCGTTTTCTCCCCAACCCCATTCAGATAAAACAGCCTACCTGTTCATTGCTCCTTGTCATTTCACTAACGTTTAATTCCGTAATTTTATTCCATCTTACATTGCACTGGTGAACTCTCACTCCGTTGAGCCTCTTTGCCGCAACAACAAGCTACACGCGTGAAGGCTAACGGACGGCTACCATTCTTTTTTATATGGGGCGCATCTCATTAAAACGACAAAACGAAATTGAAAAGTTTGTTGTTTTATTAAATTAATAATTTGAAATGTCATGGTACAGTATATCAATGTCACATGGATATTTTAATTTAATTTAGAAAAAGCCTTTTTCAGTGTTAAAATAGGCCTATATGTCTTTTTTTGCGAAAAAAAAAAAAGAATACTCACACAGGTATTCGAATAATAACGTCCGTTTCGGATATACGAATATACGAATAATCGTGCACATCCCTAGTGTGAGGGTTATGTGTTTACATACTGGGGTGTCACTGGGGTGTCACTGGGGTGTCACTGCTTGCTGGTAGAGTTTGTTCAGTCCAGAGGAAGTATCCTTTATTCTTTGTCTAAAATGATTGGATACTAGGAGTCTTCCTAAAATACAGAAGACGGCAACACCAACAAAATTGACATCATTTTAAATGAACTTCAGATTTTGTGACATTATACTCTGTGTCTGTATCTATGATATTAACTGATCTTTATGATATTAACTGATTTTTGATTTATACTCTGTGTCTGTATCTATGATATTAACTGATCTTACTTTGATTTTATTGTTGTGTCAGTCAACTTGACCTTAGGTCTCAGCATAGTCCAGGCTCTGTCGCAGCCGGCCGCGACCGGGAGACTCATGGGCGGCGCACAATTGGTCCAGCGTCGTCCAGGGTAGGGGAGGGAATGGCCGGCAGGGATGTAGCTCAGTTGATAGAGCATGGCGTTTGCAATGCCAGGGTTGTGGGTTCGATTCCCACGGGGGGCCAGTATAAAAAAAAATATATATATATATATGTATTCACTAACTGTAAGTCGCTCTGGATAAGAGCGTCTGCTAAATGACTAAAATGTAAAATGTAAAAATTTAATGGGTATACTATGGTTAGGTTAATAATGGGTATACTATGGTTAGGGTAATAATGGGTATAATATGGTTAGGTTAATAATGGGTACACTATGGTTAGGTTAATAATGGGTATACTATGGTTAGGTTAATAATGGGTATACTATGGTTAGGTTAATAATGGGTATACTATGGTTAGGTTAATAATGGGTATACTATGGTTAGGTTAATAATGGGTATATTAAAGGTTAATAATGGGTATACTATGGTTAGGTTAATAATGGGTACACTATGGTTAGGTTAATAATGGGTATAATATGGTTAGGTTAATAATGGGTATACTATGGTTAGGTTAATAATGGGTATACTATGGTTAGGTTAATAATGGGTATAATAAAGGTTAATAATGGGTATACTATGGTTAGGTTAATAATGGGTATACTATGGCTAGGTTAATAATGGGTATACTATGGTTAGGTTAATAATGGGTACACTATGGTTAGGTTAATAATGGGTATACTATGGTTA